TATGTATGTGTGTGTGTGTGTGTGTGTGTGTTAGATATATATTTTATATCTCTTTTATAAATGTAAATGCCATTTTCTGAAAGCAGATGAAATATCTCTACTTTTTCCATTGCCTTATAGTATTTCTGTTAATTGCTGAGCAGTTTTTTTTTATTCATTTTCTTTGCCATTTTATAGGCCTTTTCATCTTAAAAGGGCAAAAGCATCTTCATTTACATGCACAGAGTGTTTTATTAAATATTTTGTTAAATAAACAAAATGCTGTCAATTACCAGCCACTGAGTTGTTGATCACGTAAAACGTAACAGGAATGTTTTCTCTCAGGTCTGTCACTTTTTATATATGCTAATATGCAAATGTATATATAATATTTAATACAGTAATGCATAATTTGCATTATTTTGAACATTTCAATGGGAAAGACAAATTGCAAAACACTGCTTTTATATACAATACTGGTCAAAAGTTTGGATTTTTTTTTTAAAGATTTTTTTATGTTTTTGAAAGAACATTTTTCTCTTCTATTCGTCTAGGCATATTTGATGAAAAATGCAATACAGTAAAATTGTGAAAAACTATTACAATTTAAATTTACAATTTTCTATGTGAATATATTTTAAAATCAGCATCATTACTCCAGTCTTCAGTGTCACATGATCCTCCAGAAATCCTTCTAATATACTGATTTGCTGCTCAAGAAACATTTCTGGTTATTATAAATGTTGAAAACAGTTGTGCTGCTTCATATTTTTGTGGAAACTGACAAATTAATTTATAATATTACAAAATATTTATATTTCAAATAAATGCTGTTTATTTGAATTTTCTATTCATGAGAAAATCCATAAAAAACTGTCTTCAATAATAAAAAAAAATAATAATTGAGCACCAATATTAATTGAGAATCAAATCAGCATATAAGAATGCTTTCTGAAGGATCATTTAACACTGAAAACTGGAGTAATGATGCTGAAAACTCAACTTTGATCACAGAAATAAATTACATTTTACAATAATAGAAGCAGATATTTAAAATTATAATAATATTTCACAATTTTACTGTTATTTTTTTATCAAATAAATGCAGCCTTGGTGAACAGAAGAGGCTTTTGAACAGTAGTGTATATTTTAATCTGGCAGAGTTTCAGGAAAAACATTAAAGCTCCTCCCTAAACATAAACCTTAAATATGACAGAAATGGCCTTATAGGAAAGTTTGAAGCGTTTACTCTTACCTGACGAATGTCTTTCATGACGAGAGTAATTGTTCTTCAACAGGAAGCTGAACTGCAGCCTTCTTCCTGTTGATTGATGGCACCAAAGCGCACTTAGCTCTCGTCACTCACTAACACGGCAGCACAAATGATGATGTATCCTGAGTTTCTCCAGTCCGCAGTTTATCTGATGCTCTGTCAGTTGTTTATTTCACATTCACGCTTTAACACAGGATGAAAAGTCTGTCGGCCTCTTTATTTCACACAAAATGAATGAAGATGCCAGTCACACGCATTTTACCATGTACAATACAGATAAACAGCTGAGCTATGAAGGTGTAGACTATGTTCAGAATAAAGTACTAGTGTATACACTGACTTTTTCGCATATATTAAGCAAATATTCATTCATGTTTATTTAAAAGCATCATGTGTGTGTTTTTTCACAGATATCCCATCGCACCCGTACTCTGTTCGGCTGACTGCTGTCTCCCAACGTCTCGCCACCGTCACCTTCATAAAGCCCGACTCTCACGGCGGCGTCCCCATCAGCTATTACATCATCAACTATAAAGACACAAGCTCACAGGACTGGAGGACAGTGAGATCACATGGAGTTCAGAGTGAGTGTCATATGAGCCACTGATCAGAGTTTGTCACAAGACTTAACAGAGTCTCCATTTGCTCTCCATTTATAGTTTTTTTTTTCTTCAATTGCTAGGACACATGTCAATATTTAGGTTGCTTTTTCCAAACTCTTCACACAGTGAGCACAACAGCAGTCTATGTGGGCTAAGCTGTAGATCATTTATTATTGCTTTGGCACCCAGTGCATTCAATGACTACATCTTTCAAATTACATGAATTATTTTCTCACTCAGACACAAACACCACCAAAACTCTACATGCCTACAAGCCAGTTTGCACAGGTGTACATATTCTTCACAAAACAGTGAAACCTAAGTTCAAAAGCTAACATAATACAAAAATGAATAAGACAACAATTTGCTACATTTCTACAGTAAGACCTTATTGAAATATATTCTGTATCTAAAAAATGAAACACTATCAAAACATTTAGATTTAGCTGAACAACTACACAGGTGTTAGTCTTTCAATTACATTACCATCTCTACAAAAAAAGACAAATTGGGATTTATTTATTTATTTATTTTTACTGTAATGTTAACATGGACTGTGTAATATATATTGCAGTGAATTATAAGCAGCAGATACTGTCATTCTTGTTTTGTAATGAGATTTTAGAGAAGAAAACTTTGTATAATGCTACCTGTTGATAGTGTTTTTAGGTCATTGTTTTATGTTTTATGAGTGACGAAGTGTGTTTGTTGGGTCATAACCTGTGCTAGTGTTTTGGAAGAATGGCTTGATTTGAGACTTGTATGAAGTGTTTTGGTAGTTTTACACCATTCAAGTTATATAAAATATAAAGCTATGAGACTTTGCCCTCGGCCAAAACTATTTGCTTTTGAACAAATAATAGATTAATGAGACCAAAGACTCACACCCAGCATTTACTGTAAATATGATGCTTGCTTTCATTTAGAAATTGTTAAAGCAATTACTTTCTATGTGTAATTGCTTTAACTAAAGTAAAGCAATTACTGATCTATGTGACTCAGATTAGCATTTAGGACAGAAGAAGCAGCTCAAACATATTTTTTTTATTAAACAGATCTCATTTGAGATGTTTCTATCCTCAGAGCAAAACTGCAAAGCTTTGCAACAGAACATTTAAGCAAAAGAAATGCATGCTTACCACCCTATATTTTTCCTAAAAGCCATTGTCACTTCTCAAATTGTTTTTTTTTTTTTTTAGCAAGATCAAGATGTGTCAACAGTCATTTCCATTACATTTGGTGCAGCTAAACAGATTTGCACTTGCTGAAGCAGCAGCGATAATGACTTCAAGCTGTTTGTTCACTAAACTGCTTTACTTGCAGACAAGACTTTTCTGTGCATTAAGCCTTTAAATAATGTTTATTGTGGAAAGTGTGATGTAAAACGCTAATAACAAATAGAAACCCTCAAGTGATTGTAGTTATATTGCTCAACTCCGCATCTCAGTCCCACGCAGAGCTTCATGCATCACAGAAATGGAAAGCAATGAACGTTTAAAGTTCAAGGTCTCAAACTCTAATTTAGAGTACTTCAATTACATCCACATACTCTTTGTGGATTTTTCATTAAGAACTCAGTGTTCTTTGACTAAGTACAATAAACACGCTCATTGAGCCGGCTCATTTTTTATTATTGCTTTCTCATGTAAATGAATGCATACAATCATTGGCCAAGGTCTCAGATTTGATAAAGGCTTACTTTAATGTAAAATACATATTCAGTGTTAGATATATTGACTTATAAGTATATAAAAATAATAATTTTAGAATTACATTTACATTTACATTTAGTCATTTAGCAGACGCTGGAGAAGCCATGTGCCTGTATGATGGGACCCAGTGATGTTGTGTATATGGAGAAGAGGAGGGGTCCAAGAATTAGAATTAGTACAGCCTTTTGATGAGGATTTAGCATTAAAAACCTAATATGTTAAACTGGACAAATCAGCAAGACATCCAGATTTGCTGGTGTTATTTTAGTTTTATTTATGTACGGTTAAAGTGTTTAATATTTTGAGTTAAAGCTTTCACTTCTATTTTTTTGTTTATTATTATTTAAGCTTAAATTCTGGTAATTTTGTTATGTACTTTTGTAGTTTTTATTAGCTGTTGTATTATAGATATATCTATTTAGCTTTCATTTGATTTTATTTCAGTTTTCATTTTATTAATTCAGTTTAAACTTATTTCATTTCAGTTTTTCATCTTGTATTTATGTTTAATTTTATTACAGCTTAATTAAAATGATCATGCATGAGTTATGTGTGGTAATGGTATGTGTGTTTGTCATTTGCATTATGTTTTTGTAAATATTTATATTAACTTTAATTTTATTTCAGTTTTACTTTTAGTAATTGTAGTACTTCAGTTTAAACATATCAGTTAACTTATTTTCGTTTATGCTGTTCATCTAATATTTATATTTATTTCAGCTTAATTTCCATGAATGAAAATGAGTTTAACAGTTTTAGTTTTAATTAACAATAACACTGGCACTAATCAATATAAAATTCATGGAGTTTTCACTATTGTGTTATTGCTAATACTGTTAGCTCCTTTATAATAAATGTATTGTGTTTTTCATGATCTGTCTTTCACTTTTGATAAAAGTGGCTGCTAAATGAATAAATGTAAATGTAAAATAAATATCTAAAACAGGAAAAAAACTGTAAGTTCACATTTTACACCCAGTACATACTGTAAATGTGATGTGTGCATTCATTTCAAAATGATTGAGGCTAGTATGTGACTCAGACTAGCATTTAGGACATTTAAAGGTCAGATATAAGAATATTCTTTCTTTCTTTCTTTCTTTTCTCTCTCTCTCTCTCTCTCTCTCTCTCGCTCTCTCTCTCTCAGGTACAGTAGTTCTTGCTAACCTGGAGCCCAACACAACGTATGAAGTGCGCGTGGCGGCCGTCAATGGAAAGGGTCAGGGTGATTTCAGCCACACAGAAACCTTCCAGACATTACCCATCCGTGAGTATTTCACCATATCTCCCGTTTTCAGTTTGTGTCACTCCCATCACTGTGTGTTTGACAACGAGGACAATGAGACCTTTCACAGAGTGCAATTGTATATATAACGTCATATTCTTTAGATTTCTGTGTTGCCGCTCCTCCAGTGAACTTTTTTTAAGCTCCTTCATTGTAATAATGCTGCTTCTTCTGTCTGTCAGATCTTGAGTTGTGTCTGATGGTCTTGTTTTGCTCAGGTGAGCCGAGTCCTCCGACAGTTCATGGACAGAGAGGCATCGGTAAGGCCTACAGACTCGGACTGATCAAACAGGACGATGGCGGGATGCCCATCGTGGAGTACATCTTGAAGTATAAAACGGTCTGTAAGCTCAACCACAGACACTTTTCACATTTCTGTGGGTCTCAGAAGTCATCTTAGTTGGGTGAACTTCTGTAGTGATAAATGGAAACCAAATCAAATATAAGTATTGCATAATTATTTGCTCCAATAGCAAAAGAAAAAAAAAATCAACAATAGTATTATGTCTTTACAAAAGTGGAAAAACATTGTTTACAGTGGTCAGAAGAGAGAAAGATATCAAATTTGCCATCGCTCCCTCAGCCGTTGTTAGAAACACCCAGTAATTTTGTGTTTTTATTTTATTGTTTTTTTCTAGGGTTATTGCAGTTAACTAAATCTAAATCTGATACTGAAATGAAAGCCATTAAAAAAAAAAAAAAGATTGTTATTTAAAATAAACTAAACAAAAAAACTAATAAAGAATACACAAAAAACACACAACAAAATTACTAAAACTAAAATGAAAACTTATAAAAAAACGTATTAAAATTATAATATTATAATTGTATTAGTTTTAGTTATTTTAGTACCTCAACTTACATTTATTTTGTTTCAGTGAGGTGCCAAGGCCACATTTATATTTTTAGTTTAAGTTTTTAAGTTTTAGTTTTCAATTTAATATTTAGCATATATTTAATTTTATTTCAGCTTCATTTGAATGAATGAAGATGATTTTTAATAGTTTTAGTTTTAGTTAACAATATCAGCACTGGGACTAAACTTATCATGAACTAGCATGGACATTTTATTCAGTAGATATTAAACTATTGACACTGGCTATTGTTATTGGTAATATTGTTAGATCATTTATGATAAATGTCTTGTGTTTTTAATCATCTGTATTTCACTTAAAAAAGTGTCTGCTAAATTAATTAATGTAAATGTATAATGCAAGGTATATCTGCATAAATATTAGTTTTATCAAACATACAGTAACAAACTGTAATATTGTGAAATGTTATTGCAATTTTAAATGGCTGTTTACTGAAACTAATAAAATGAGCATATTAGAATGATTTCTGAAGGATCATGTGACACTGAAGACTGGAGTAATGATGCTGAAAATTCAGCTTTGATCAGAGCAATAAATTAAATTATAAAATATGTTGAAATATAAAACAATTATTTCAAATTGTAATAATATTCCACAATATTACTGTTTTTACTGTATTTTTGATCAAATAAATGCAGCCTTGTTGAGCAAACTTCTTTCAAAAACATTTAAAAAATCGTAATTATTCCAAACATTTGACCGACAGTGTAGTCAACTAATGTAAAGCTAGTGACTCGCACTACACAGTTTGCTTTAGGCAATTTACACATGCATGAATTCATTGTAAATGCAAGTTTATGTTGTGTTTGTTACATCTGCGGAAATACATGTTGAATTTGTACTGTAAAATAGCACAGAACTCTTGCTATGCTTTAAGCCATGGATTCATGTCTGCGTTTGCACACTGTCCTAATTCACTGCGTTAATCCGCGAGCGGATTTTAGTGTATATCTGACAGGTCGAAGGCTTCCAGCCACCCATAGCCATGTGGGCAGATGAATCTGTAATGTTCTGGGGGAGAAATCCTGCTTTTCCTCTGTCTGGCATACAGTGAGTCTGCAGTGAAATGGCATTCATGCTGTGGCCTCATTTGCTTAAAGAATATGGATGCGTGAGAGAAACACTTTGAAGTCCTTTCATTCTCCTCAGAGGATCTGCAGGAGGTGATTCGCCATGAGTTTTCCTCTCCGTTATGGATATAAGGAACAAAGAGCCAACCAGAGCGTTTGCTTCACTAAATACCAACAGTTACACCTACACTGCAGTTTTGTCCTGGTTTTGGGTGAATCTCAAAGAGCAAAGAATATGAAGCTTATTTTAGGACCATTACGGTTTTTTTTTTTTTTTTCACATTATTTATTTTAAGGGGTCCTATGATGCGTTTTCATGTTTTCCTTTTTCTTTAGTGTGTTATGTAGCTGTTTGTGCACGTATAAGATCTGCAAAGTTACAAAGCTCAAAGTCTCCCACAAAAAAAGAGAAGGCTGACCAAGACCTGCCGAAAATGCCCCAATCGAGCTCTCCCTCCCATATCTACGTCACTATGTTGAAATATTTCCATAATAACACCCAAATATATGTGCAAAGAAAGAATGCGTGGTTTTCAGGTATCGCAGAAGTGCTTCTATGCGAAAGCAAAAGCACTTTATTTCAGTATGTCTGGCAAGTGTTTTATAATGGACACTCGCTGAAGAAGCGTGTTTTTATAGGAATTTGCTGCAGTCAGTGGTGTTTATATACATATGGGCATCAACACTCACTCTGACAGAGGAACTTCAGATCACCATTCAACAAATACAGAATGTTTTTATTTGCTGTTGTAATTTGTGTTTTTAATCATTCTGAATGGATCCGTTTATATTTCAGTCATGTTAAGTCCCCGATCAGACAGGATGCGTGTTTTGCAGTGAGAGGCGCCTTTTTAAAATTGTTTTCTATTGACAGTGAGCATTTTGCACACTGTTTATGCGCCCTGGACGCCTCACGGTTTAGCCGCCTGCTGCACCTCGTGTTTTTTTTATTTTTTATTTTTCATTGTCCATTTGAATGAATGGAGAGGCGGGCCTTCCATTGTGGTGACAGTAGTTTACAGTTGCTTGGAACGTCTGGAGACTGCAATGATGGAGGAGGAACTTGTGGTGGCTGTCGCGCGTTGCCCAGAGCTGTATTTTTTTAAAGTTTCTGCTAATATGACAGTTTACTTAACAGCAAAGATTTTAGAGCACTAGCGCGATAATCATTGATAAGACTGAAAGGACAGCTGATTCGGTGGTTGCCTAGCAACATAAAAAAAACTCCAGAGCACTGCTCTTTTCTAAATTAAAAAAAAAAAAAAAGTCAAACAAAAAAAAGGCAGTGCGGTGCAGTGCGCCTCACGTTTTCAAAAAAAACGCATTCTGTCTGATCGGGGCCTAAAGCGACTGGTCTGTTGGCATCTATGTATGGTTCTGTTTCGTATTGCAGCTTGACTTGTAGTTATAGAAAATGCTCTAAACAAATGTGACACACCAAAGGAGAATGGAGCCTCTTCTCCGCGACCATTAAATGCCGAGCATGCCTCTCCTCGAGAGACCGGACTCTTCCCCCGTGCATGCACGCTGGTGTCCTCGTGGGTCCAGGAAGGGAGCCCGGGAGGATTCCTGCACCGCCAGAGACGCGAGCTGCCAGACCCACGGTTCGGAAATGAGATGCAACCATGATGCAGCCGACGGGCTAGGATGCCGGGCCGTTAATCCTCTGAAGCGCTGTGGGCCAGGGAAGATGAGCCGCTGTGAAGAAGCCGGCCCTCGCGCCCCGGACCACAGAGAGGATTGCGTGTGACCGCCAGACTCCACCCCTTACCTGGACCCCTCCTTTCCGAACACTGCCCTCTTTTACGATTCCCCAGCACAATGAGGACACTAGATCCCCTGTTTATTTTGAACACTCCTTCCCCTCTGGACACTTTATTACCCGTTTTGGACATTTTATGTTTATTTTCTGTTAAATAAAAGCCTCTCCGAGGCCTGACGCCACACCCACTGTGTCTGTCGTTTGCTCCTCACGCCACATTGGTGGATAATGCGGGTAAGGCAGAGCCTTGACAGCACAGTTGGGTATCATCTGATGACTTAAACCCCTCTCGCTCGCAAAAGTTCATGAAAACCGGGACTGGGACAGAGAAATGACGGAGACGGCCTCCCAACTAAAAAAGGTTGGTTGAGGCTGTCGACTAAAACCCTGTTTTCTCACCAGAGGGAGAGCTGCCCGGAGAGAAATTCCTGCCCCGCCACTCTGACTGTGTGGAACCTGGTTGAGGAAGGTAGCACTACCGCGTGGGCGGCCGCCATAGGACAGGAATGACGCTTGGGGGGTGGGGGGGGGGCATGTGATGGATCGGCTGCCTCGTTTGCTTTTTCCTTTTGTTATACTGGGGAAAATTGTTGGACGTGGCACCCTACCAAGAAAATTTTCCACCAGCCGCCACTATATACACTAACATTAGGTTACTTTTAGCCTTATACCCTGGAGCTGGTTCACCCTTTGGCTATGCTGAATCATCTGAAGCGGTTTCGGTAAAACAATCAAGAACAAGAACTGAAAAAAAAAGACTACATTTTGAAAGTTAACTTTAAAAAAATCAGCTACTGTGGATAAGTGGCCATTCACACCAAAACAGTTTTTGTGCTATTTTTCAGATGTTTTCCTATGTGAGCATGCAATGGATGTATTTGCCCATTCTGTTGCTTTTTGCCATTTTCAAGGTTAAAGTATTGTTTAAGTATCTAGAGATGCCTTCATTCAAAAATAAAAAATAATTTTCTGGATCTCTGTGCGCACACTCAGATGAAATCCTGCAGGCGCCCTGGACCCAAACGATTGAGTGTTTTACGGAAGACAGTTTCCTGAACCTGGGAGAGTACAAGGCCGACCAGAACACAAGATCCAGGGGGTGTGGTTGGATCCACATCTAGGGGGTGGAGATTGGCAGGGGACTCGGGAGGCCATGGCGGAGCAGGGGACTCGGAAAGCCATGGCGGAGCAGCCTCGGCCACTACGGCTGGAGCCCTACTACCCCCCCAAAAAAAATACTTGGGGAATTTACGGGGCTGTACTTGGGGCCAGGAGCCCTCCCTGGACGTAACGGGGGATCAGGAGCCCTCCCTGGGCTTAACGGGGATCAGGAGCCCTCCCTGGGCTTAACTGGGGATCAGGGGTTTAACTGGGAAACAGGAGCCCTCCGTGGGCTATACTCGGGATCATTGCCCGTCCTGCGCTTAACGGGGGATCAGGAGCCCTCCCTGTGCTTAACGGGGAAACAGGAGCCCTCCCTGGGCTTAACTGGGGA